CACTTGCCAATGCAGGGGACACGGGTCCCTGGTCCGGGAAGATCCCACATGCCGCAGAGCAAATTAGCCCATGCGCCACAACTACTGAGCCTGTGCTCTAGACCCCATGAGCCGCAACTACTGATCCCGCGCACCACAACTACTGGAGCCCGCGCGCCTAGAGCCTGTGCTCCACAACAAGAGAAGCCACCGCAATGAGAAGCCCACGCACTGCAACCAGAGAAAGCCCATGCCCAGCAACGAAGACCCAATGCTGCCAAAAATAAATAAATTTTAAAAATAATAAATAAATTTATTTAAAAAAATTTTTAATCTTCTGATAGCAACAGTGAGGAAGAGGGACAGTGGCGCCTCCCAACACCTCTATTGGATGTCTTCTAACACCTTTAAGTCAACAGGTCCAAAGCAGAACTTACTATTCTTTTCCTTCTCCAAAAAATCTGCTCCTCTTCCACGTTCCTCATTTCAGAAATGAAGTCAGCATTAACTCAGTTCCTGTCAGAACCCATAAAACTCTCTTGACAACTCTCTCTCCCCCATCGCCATACACAATTAACCAGCCAGTCCTGTGGACCCCACCTCCGGAATAGCTTTACTATCCTTTCACTCCCTCTCTGTTCCCAATTGTTCCCAACCTAGTCCAGGCCACCATCACCTTCTGCTTAGAGAACTGTACGCAAAACCCTCCTAATTGGTCTTCCTACCTCCAGTCTTAACTAAGTCCCATTCGTTCTCCACATGTGGAGTAGAAATGACAAACTGCTGATGTCACTCAGCGCTTAAAACCCTTTCATGGCCTTCCAGTGCTTTCGGAAGAAAAAGCTGAACTCCACACAATGATTTACAAAGTCCTGCATTGGCCAGCTACATCTCCCCGCTCCGAGCCCAGGCCCAGTCTAAACTCTAGCAGTGCTCTCTGCTCCCCAGACCTTCTGAATAAGTCTTCTCTGCCTAGAGCTCTTGAATTCTGTCCCTTTAAATTCTAACTTAGATCACTTCATCCAACAAGTGTTCCCTGCCCTCCCATGCCCTGTCCAAATCTGGGTTGAGGACCCTCCTGTGTGAATTAATTGCGTCTTCTATTACCCCGAATATGCTACTTATCACATTTTACTGAAGTTGTCAGAGTGTCCTTTGCTAAATTCCCTGAGGGCCAGGATGAGTAATTTACATCCCATCATAAAGCACAATGCCTGGCTTAATACTTGTTGAATGAACGAATTTATGACTTCGAATTTAGGTTTCTAATTCTTGCGTTGGCTCCTCTATTTAAAATTAAGCTAGCTTTTGTCTTTTTTAAAAGAGTCCACTACTTTCTCACGTTTGCGGTCCTTACTCTATCTGCCCTAATGCAACTGACATGGTCAACTGACATCAGGGACATGCCACCTCATTCTATACCTTTCCTATATTAGAAACCTCTTGGGATTGCCTCTTATATCCCCTTGGCCTCACTTCCAACTCATGCTACAACTATGAAGTACAGTTCTATCAGGACAGATTGGCAAGGTCTGTCTCTCTTGCTTCCTGCCTTTCAGAGGCAACAGCCTGCAGTGCCCATAGGAGTCTGCTCTGCAAATGTACAGATACAAAGTGAAAGTGCAGTGGCGTTAACACCCAATGAGACAACCACTGGCCAGTGGAGAGGAAGCCAGTGGACAAGTACTTCTTCCTTTGGTCCCTTGGGTGGCCAACTCTGAGACACACACCAGAAGGTCTCTCAAAAGGACTGAAATCCAGTCCTTAAAGTGGCAGCTCACACAATAACACATCCTTCTATTCTTTTCCCCCTCCCCTAGTTCACTCTCCCCAGTCCCCCACTCCTGTTCCCCAAGACAATTTCTCAAATAAATCATCTGAATGCAACCCCATGTTTCAGGATCTGCTTCCAGAAAGAAACCAGGCTAAGACAGTCTCTTTAGCATTAGAAGTGCTCAGATTTTTATTCTTGCTTTCTTATTTTGCTAGGGGTTAGTAAAGCAGGTAACTTAATTCTTCCCCTACTGTAAACACTGTCCTTCCTATTTACAGACAAATTTCATTTTATTATTAGTGAACACTCCACAGAAGCATGAACAAGTCAAGTCTCCCCTATGATGTCTATTTCAAATGAACGGCAGCTAGGAAAATACATTTCTTACATGAACAGGAATTCTACCCAAGTTTCCATGTTTATATTAAAAACACTTTGCCAGCATCACATAAAAGACCACTCATAAAATAAAAAGACTTTTTCATACCTTCATGTTACAGCTTGCTTATTTTTCTGCAGAGAGAATGAATATTAACATCCACAAAACAGAATCTAAACAGTTTAAAAATACCTTGCAAGCAGATGCAGAGGCTCCATTCTTACACTGAAGTTGGGTGTGAATGATTTTGGAAACCTTCAGGTTGTTACATTTGTCTTTGGGTCAGTTTCTCCAATAGGTAATAGGCACTGTATTGAATATCAAGTGATGCAGACTCCAAAATACAGAATATTTACTGATAATTCACAAGGTAGGAAAATGTTCAGTCAACTGCAAATTATTTTAGGGCTGATGACAAGCTTGATGACATCCTGGGATATCATCTTTTGCCCCTTCTTTACTTATTTAATCTTTAAGCATTCCACCAATTGTCAGAGATCACTAAATTTATTGGCTAAGCAGTTTTTAAATTCTCTACTTTTACTGCTGCCTTCCAACATCAGACAAAGTTTAAAAAATTTTTTTTAATTTGTTTTAATCCAGAATGTATGGAGATGGACAATGCTTATAGAATTTTGATGATTTGGGGTAGTAGAAAGGTTTCACTTTTATTACAATAAAATATCCTTGTAAAGTAGTTACATGTCTTCACCAAATTTTCTAAACTACCTGGATCAGAGTATTCAAAGAACTCTATTACTATCATCAGTGACAGTAATCTGATTTGCATATAAAAGCATTTGAAATCAATGTCTTCCAACTCTGATACGTTAAGTGCACACTCCACCTATAACATATTTAAGGCCTAGAACTGAGATGCCACAAAGCTCTCTAACACATAAAAGCAAGTCTCCTCAACACTGCACAGCCTTGCCAGCTATTACAGGGCACAGACAGAAGCCCGCTTCCTCTATGTTAAGATTCACATTTTTACGTGGTTGACGTTTCTGAAACCCAAATGTATCTTACAACTTAGGGAGTCATAGTCTACTTGGCAACATTTTTTCTTAGTGGTACCTAAAATAAAGAACTTAAAATTGATGATGTCTCATATTCAACAGAGTATCACAGTTCATCCAGCACTTAAACAGCAGGTGTGGGCTTTACTTTTATCCTTTAACTGATATTTTGGACAACCCCTTCGTGACATCAGAAATGTCAGTTTTCACTGAAACAAAGAAAGTAGCACAGCAAGATGTCACACGTTAGAACCAGGCAGAACTAGCATTTATAGACATGTTTTGAAGCATCACGATAATTCTGAGCCTGCTATCGTGATGCTGGAATCATTTTTATTATTTATTATAGGATTAATTACATTGAAAACTGGGTGAATGACTGTAAAAGGAATTACTTAAAAAATTGTTTCTATTTCATAAGCAAAAAGAAAGATCAGAGAAATATTTCTTGAATAGTTAAATGGAAATCTTCAGTCTGCTTTTCAAAACTTTTCAGTGGTATTTCAGTCTGCCTCTGGCTTACTGCTCACACATACATGCGTTATTGCGCAAAGACTGGCTGGTAAAGATCTGTAAAACAGTATTTTAAAAATTTCTCTGTAAGACTGGCTTTTTTAAAACACCCTTTAAAAATGACAACAGTCATTTACAACTGTTGAAGTTTACCTTAATGAGTCTTGGCTTCACATTTCTTAATAGAAAACGCAAATATTAAAACATTACACTGCTTCACTCTTACGCATAAACACTGTAGGAAGGACTTCTTGTCTTGCTCCGTAGTGTCCTCATTAAAAGACCATGCAAACTAGGGAAATCTAGCTTCTGATTTTTAAACCAGGAGTCATATTAGCACTACACTATAACATTTGGATTAAAAAAGTATATCTTTGAAAAGTAGGTGAGTGGGAAAATATAGTAATAATATAATAAAGTGGTATTTTTAAGTGGATGGGGGTAAATTGAAAAAATTAGGAGACTGTAACTTTCTACATTTTCCATATCAAAACACATTCTTCAGGGCTTCCCTGGTGGCGCAGTGGTTAAGAATCTGCCTGCCAATGCAGGGGACACAGGTTCAAGCCCTGGTCCGGGAAGATCTCACATGCTGCGGAGCAACTAAGCCCGTGCGCCACAACTACTGACCCCTGTGCTCTAGAGACTGCGAGCCACAACTACTGAGTCCACAGGCCTAGAGCCTGTGCTCTGCACAACACAAGAAAAGCCACCACAACGAGAACCCCATGCACCGCAACAAAGACCCAACGCAGCAATAAATAAATAAATAAATTTATTTAAAAAAAATCTTAAAAAAAAACCCCACATTCTTCCGATTCACCAAATATAAGAGCCAAGTTTCCAAAGATATTTTCTTGGTTTGATGCCTGGTTTCTTTATGACACGCAGTAGGCTACATGTTTATTCTATCTCCAGCTGGCTATATCCAATAGCACCATCTTTACTGGCAACAAAGAATTTACGTTTATTAAGTATCCAACAATCAACATTATTCATTTCGCAACTTCAAATGCGTAGGTCAACCTCAAATCTAGACTTGAAACAATTTTTACCCCGAGAAGAATTAAAAGAACAACAACTTAATTCTACATCTAAAATAATTCAGAAGGCCACTGTCCACTTAACTGTAAGTTATCACTGCAGCACATTTTTAGGGGCCTTAGGGAGTTTCGGTAAATTTGCTTTCTCATCAGGCACTGTTTCCCAGTGATTAAGATGATATTATAGCTGACGTACATCCTTTCTTGAGGGACGTGCTACCAGGCTTGGAGAAACCAAGCAAGCCAATATAGGCCAGAGCTCTTTCTGAACCTGGTTATTTCACACACAAAGGCACAGTCAGAGTGGGACTTGGTTTTTCTGTGGGCATGTATGACAGAAACTGCAGAAGTATAGAAAAAATGCCAGGGAACCATGCCAGCAAAAAAGAAGGACGGAATAAAGAGAGAAGAAAAGAGGCAAATGAAACAACATAAAATAACACAGTTCGGAGGCTCGGAGTTTTGAGGGATGGGGACCAAACTAGGAAAAACCATCTTACACTAGTTTAGATTTTCGGCAGCTGCTGGCAAGATTTTAGGTGTCCTAGAAATTCTCTAACCTGGGCTAAGTACATAAAGCACTAAACCAAAATTAGGTGCTGTTTTTTTAATAGTAAATTAAAATTCAATACCTTAATAATTTATGACTTAGTTATATTATAGACAAATTAAGAAATTACTTGCAAATATTTCAAGGTATGTACAGAAAAGAGAGAGTGAAATCTAGACTAATCTGTGGTAAAATGTATACTTCTATAAGTAGAAATAGAAATAAAGCTTATTCTAATTATCTCCTCTGAAATACTAAAAGTATCCATAAAAATATTATAGAGCAATATTTAAATTAAAATTAGTTTACATTTATGATTAAAAGCCATTATTAGCTATTATTTTTGCAATAAATAATATCTGAGGGGTCAATGATGAAGCATTCAATTATGTTCTGAGGATAAACTGAGGTAACATAGGGGAAAACACAGAATGGCGCTTGGGAAATACCGTATGCTTAACGAAGTTTTAATATTTTGTAAAACTGGAACCAAAAGGATTTTACTACCAACAAAAATAGTACTGTCGACTGAAAAAAAAGGCACAACGTGAGAGTTGTGAGTGAAGTTTTATCTGGGGCAAAATGAGGACTACAGCCCGGGAGACAGCCTCTCAGAGAGCTCTGAGGAACTGCTCCGAAGGGGTGGGGGGAAGGTCAGTGTTACATAGGATTTTGGTGAAGGGGGTGCGTGCAGTCAAGCGCACGTCTCAGCAGAAGGCCGCTGCTGGTCACGAGGAGCAGATGTCTCCGTTCATGATCTTAGTGCTTTTCTAGATCTGAGGAGGTGCAAGACATAGGCTCATAAAACCTTCTCCTGAAAATCTCTCTCTGAAGCCCTGTCCTGCCAGTTTTCCCCAGAGCACAGAGGGCCTCATTCCTGATCTCCACCCTGAACTCCTTTCAGGATGTGTGGAAGGTCAGCAGCTACAGACGTTTGTGACTTAATCCTTATAGAGGCAGACGGCAAATGCCAATTTTTAGCTGGCAGTACAATATTGTGCAACATTAAGGGTCAAATCAAATCATAGTTTATCATGGCTATAAAACCAACTCCAAAACATTCGGTTTATCCTTGTAAAACTCTTGTAAATCTTATGCTTGTAAAATATCTGTATTAGATACTATCACATAAGTAGTGGCATTTGTTTGCTGAATGACTGACCAAATTAGTGGTCAAGTAGTTTTTACTTTACTAAAACTAAGAAGCCACACAAAGTATTAAGAACGATAACAAAAGTGTGAAGCATGATTTCTTGTTTTGTTTCTTAAAAAATTCACAGAGCTATATGCACAGGAAAAAAAGATCAGGAGAGCATAAAAAAATTAACAATGATTTTACTGCTGTACCACGAGAATGTGAATCATTTTCATTTCCTTCTTAGTAGCGGTTTTATGCATTTGAACAAATTTTCTACTAGTGTTTCCAGTAAATATTTTTAAAAATAATTTAATCCAAAAAAGTACAATGTAGCTGTGATGCAGAATTTTTGAAATCTATACATATCTAACCATCAATTTAAAAAGCAACCTAGCACACGTTTACTTAAAAATCATTTGAGGAACTTTTGAAATCCTTTATTTAGAGTAGGCAGAGGTCCTGAATTGAAAAACAAAAGACCTATTTATGAACAAAAGAATCTCTTTAAAATTTTCCGAATTACTTTAGTTTGCCAGCCCTCCCCCCATGGTACTGTACAGCAGTAAAAACAATAGGTTTTTATTGTGAGGCAGACTTTTTAGCTGAGCAAATAACCATAGAACCCGAATCCCCAAAATATGTGGGGTTGCGGGGGATGGGTTGAGGGCAGGGAAGAATAGGATTTCCAGACGTTCTCAGCAATTCAGGACAGGGGGAAAATGTAATTTTTCCTGCAAGGGCCACTGATGCACCTTGTAACCAAAGTCTGTTTTACCGACACCCATGGTGATCAGCTGTGCCTTTTGCAGAGAAATTTAACTACTGAACAGCTGAAAGGAGAAACAAGATTTAGTGAAAAAAGCACCATGCCGACTAACAATATTGCCCATATTAAGCTCTGTATTTTCTAAGTCAGAGTTTGGGTCATGTATGAGTAAAACTGGCCCCAGAGAAGAGAGCAGTTTCTCACAGATTGCCATTTGAAACTCAAATGACCATGTTTCACAGCATGCTCAATGCATTCCAGCATGTAACTGCATTTTAATTTCCTAAAACCACAGGATGTAAGTGTGATTTCAAATAGTTTCTGGACTGTGATATTCAATACTGATAAAACTGTATGGTGTCCTCCTCGAAGTTCCAACGATTCAGCATATGGAAAAGGACCTTCATTTTCTTGGAAGCACTATTATCAAAGAAATTAACTCCTCTGGCTTTTGTAAGTGAATCCTAAACAATGAATATTAAGAGCTAAAGCTACTGTCATAAGAAATGGAACTTAGATTACAGGAAATAAACAGGCTATATATTCCTCACTCACCAGGGTGTTGTAAGTCCTGGACAAAACCTGCAGGTATGAGACTAAATTTTCTTTGCCATGAAATGCTCATTAGCGCTTACTTTGGAAAATGAATTCAAAATATATTAACATGAATGAATCTTTACTTGAATGTCCATTTAGTACATGGAAATCATGCAGTCACCTTTTCAACTTTATAAAACAGGGAGAGCCTGTGACTTTTATTATTTTTTTTTCCTGTGACTGTTTTAATCTCCAAGTATACGCAAGAAGAGAAGCAGATCTATTTTAAAGAAAATAGATCAAGAGGGAAAAAGGGAAGGTGAAATTGTGTCGTAAGTTTGGGAGTCGGAACCAATTTGAGATCATATTATTATTCAGTTGGAAGGAACTTATAAAGACAAATTTTTACATGTGAACATCAAACAATGTACTAAGATGTTCAACAATTTTCACCACAGGGACTGGCTCTGACCTGACCTTGAGAAAAGATAAAGGGAAAAATTCTTTTGAGAGGATAGAGTGGTTAAGTACAGTTGACCTTGAACAACACGGGTGAACTGCATTAAGTCCACTTACACTCGGATTTTTTCAATAGGAAATACTACAGCACTACACGATCCAGGGTTGGTTGAATCTGAGGCTGCAGGTACAAAGGGCCAACTCTAAGTCGACTATACATGGATTTTCAACTGGGTGGAGGGTTGGCGCCTAACCCCCAAGTTATTCAAGGGTCAACCGTATATGCTTTCCTCTAAAATGCTATTGCCTTTTGAGCCTGACTCCAAAACTAACTGACAAATTCAATACGTTTGTTTTTAAGCAACAAGTCTATTTAATTAATGAGGTAGAACTTAGAATGAAACTCTGATCAGTAATTTAAGGTACAGGAATGCAAAGCTTTGGCTGCTCTACGAAACCCAAATATCTAGAAAACCTGGAGCTAACCTCGAGGTGCCTGGCACATGGGCCCCTATGGCCACTCTTCATCAGATTCTAAGGTATCATCATGTGTAAGAAGTGCCCACTCTTGATTTCATACCAGCCTTTCCAGGAGATAACAAAATACAAAGGTACATGAACCAATTTTTTAATGAAAGAAAACCTGATTTGTGAAAAAAAAAAATGCACATCTTAGAACAGAAGAAATGACTGCATTTCTTTCCTCGTCCTCTTTGTCTTCCTATTTGATTTGTCCATTTACTTTCTTCCTTTCCCCTGACCTTTCCATTCCTCTCTCCTTCTTTTTCCTAAAGTTAGCCTAAACCACAGGTGGCTAGTAGGAAAATGTTTGTGTTCTTAAGAATTTATGCATTGGGCATCTCCTTTGGTGGGCTGTGAAGATAGAAAGGTCAAAAAGCATCCACGGAAACACCCAGGAACTTCAGCCTGGGGGAAGACATGCAGTACAACTTAATGCAACTGATCACAGGGCAGGAGAGCATTATGACTTGTGCCTGACGAGCAAAGCCACAGCGAACACGGTGAGGGTGGGGAGGGCCGCGCAGAGGAGAACTGCTATAAACGGTGAGTGGTACTCAGATGACAGGGAGGGCAACAGATCTGCATGCTTCCTAGGAGAGAGGGATCAGGGCACATAAAGGCAAAGGCAGAAGAAACCTGTGGCATACATGGGATGCAGCCCCCTACCTGCCGAACAATCACCAACACCACGATAAGAGGGGGCTATTCTCAATGTGTTTGTTTTATTTTAATCCTCATTATAGCTCAATATGAAAGGTCTTATTATTATCTCTATTTTGAAGGCCAGGAACCTGAGGCCAGAGAGATTATTAAACTGCCGGAGGGGACCCAGTTTACCAGCTGATGATGGAGTCAGGGTCTGAATGCAGGAAGTCTGGCTCCAGGGCTATACTTTTAGTGTCTGTACCTGCTACCAGTGCACAGTATCCAAAGGAGAATAATAAGAGATAAAATATGGCTGGGGCTATTCTGGGCAGGAGATAGAAGAAAGGACAGAAAAGAAGAAGCACCAGGGATGCAAGAAGTCAAGGAAGTATCATCACAAAACCCATCACAGCCGGCTGGCCCTCGCGAAACCATTCCACAACTTTATCTGGTCCAATTGGTCGATACTTCTATCTTCTTTACGTTGGCTAAATGATCCAGTGAACAATTTTTATGCACTGTGATAGTTGTAAAAGTAATGGAGAACACTGTGAGCCCTCAAAGCATGCGAAAACTAACCAAACGGAAGAAGCTGTGTCAGTAAGTAGCACAAGCACATGAGGCTTCAGCATTTATTTGCAAAACCATGATTGTGAGTGTTGTGTGCGTGAGTGTTGTGTGTGTATGCACACGCAGCGTCTCCTTCTATCCGACAAACACACGCATGTCCGTGCGCAGGTACTCACGCACACTCCACAATATATAAAAAGCTACCAGACCCTGTTAAGGGTCACAACCAAGCAAGCGGATTCTGAAACAAAGCCAATGATTTCCGGCCAAGCTCTGCTCCAAACATACCTGCTTCTGGGTCCTGGTTGAAACGGCAGTACTTGGAGTTCTCAAGTGAAGGCAGGCACTGCTCAATGGGTACCCAAACGTATGTCTCAGGACACAGCAAATCAGACGGTCTATACTGACCCTAAAGAGAAGTGAAGAAAAAAGGCACAGGCATTACTAACACAGTAACTTCCTAGTTACTAGACTCCACAATTCCGGGAAAAGTTTTAATCACAAAGTTAAATGAAGTCAACCAGAAACAGCTTTACTGTAAATACTAAACAACCCTATTAGTAACTGCTTTCCCAGCTCAAGAATGTGCATTTGATCAAAAGGCTCTCAAACAAATGTATCACCATTTGGGATGCCTGTGCTCATTTGGAAGATCTGAGTTTCTACTTTCTTTTGGAAGAAATATTCAACATATGATTCTTGCTAAGCTGATTGCTAAGAATACCCAGTTTCAAATTCAAGTTGTCTCTTAAGTGCCAGTTAATAACACAGTGAAATTTCACATTTGACAGCATTATAATTTATATATGAAATAAACAGGAATTTCACTATCCTTAGTCAAAATTTTTTAAATTTGTAAGCTCAGCTGATAATATTCTTTCCATTCTAATGTACTAAAAAGTACTGTCTGGTCAACATGCTTCCATGAGCAATCTAGACTGATAAATGTAAAGAAAGAAAAAAAATTTTAAATTACAAAAATTTCAGGGAAATATCTGTGATAATAATCCTCTAAAGTTTCTTCAAACACTCTATTTTAGGAAAAATGATTTATGTATTTATAACCCCATCATGTACCCCAAATATAAAACAAAGACTATACAACAGATACTGAAGAAAAAAATCATTCACCTAAGGGTAATTTGGTAGCCAATTAACAGAGGATAGTGCAAATTATGTGAAATCACTTAGTGAAAATTTTTAGACATATCAGTTAATTAAAATTCCACATTTCTCTAAATTTTAAAATTCAAAATTCATCATAGAGGTTAAATCTAAACATTAGTTTTCAATTTTTTTAACCTACAACCCATGGTAAGAAATACATTTTGCATTACAACCTAGTAAACCTATATGCAAATATAAAACTAGAAACAAATCTTTTACTATAGAATGCTTACCCATGTTATGTAATCCTTTCTTTTCTACTCTACTTCATTTTTTTAAAATGATGCTCTTGGACTATTTAACACCAAAATTGCTTTCATAAATAGCAAATGGGTCACAAACTCAGAGATTGAAAAACACTATCTAGTGCAAACCCCATGACAACGAATACTGCTGCTTAAGGGCTTAGCACTGTTACACGGCTTCATATCAGAAAGGTGCTCTATAACCAGCCTACCATGTGTGAGCAACTGGTAAAGCATCACTCAGGTTTAAAATGAACACCACACCCTCCCAGCATTCAAAACATTCAGAAATCTGTAAGCTAATGGAGAGACTGTACATAAAACACATGAAAACAAATCAATTCCTTTCAAGAGGTTGGCAGAAGAGTTCAAGGAGGATATGGAGTTTTAACGGGAACAGATTCACTGGCTAAGTCTGGGGCAGGCTGAAAAGGAATGAGAACAATCTAGACGAAGACTACAGCATAAACAAAGATGCAGAGTTGGGCCTAGTACAAGATAACTCTGGGGAACGTGAAATAGCAGAGCACTGCAGAAATGAAAAGGTAGGTTGGGGATCAGCTTCAGATATCATGTTTTGGACTTTATTCTAGATGAAACGGGAGTGCTTGCTGCCTGAGACAGAAGGCATGAAAGTATGAAGACCAGAACTCAGGTCTCTGACTCTGATCTTCCTGCAGTGTTCACGGCATTGCTGATGCCTTACTGTCCTAGAGCAATAAAGGTCACCTAGAAGGGGCAGGTCTAGGTGGGCCACACACTCATCTAATATTAAAATTCGAAGCACGGGGTTATTTAGAAATGAATTAATAATTTACTTAGGAGGTGTAATAAAGCCAGTTATTCCACTGATATCTACCTTCTCACAAGCAATGTCATTCTCTCCATTAATTCAGGAAGTATTTTATTGGGAAAAGAGACAGTGTGATGCGGTGCTGTCTACATTAACAAATCTGAACACTAGATAGCAGTCTAAAGCAGTGGTTCCGAATCTTTTTTTTCTTCCTTCTTGGTTATGGACTAATTTGAGAATCTAATGGGAGTGGCAGAAGCTAAATATACCAGCTAAAGAAATAAACCTTCTCGGGGAAAAAAGGAGTAACTCTTCCTGCCACTGGAGTATACGAAGAGTTCTTAGAACACAAAAAGCATTAACCGTAGAAGAAAAAATTGACGAATTGGACTTCATCAAAATTACACTGTCTTCAAAAACTTACTAAGAAAATAAATAGGCAGGCCAAAGACTGGGGAAAATATTAAGAAAACCTGTTGTATTAGACAACATATTTGTATCCAAAACATATGAAGAATTTAACAACTCAATAGTAAGAACAATCCAAATTTTTTAGAAGGCAAAAGACTTAAAAATTTTGCCAAAGATATACGAATACCTAAGAAACCCAACATCAGTTACCAGAAATGCAACCTAAAACTATAACAGGATACCACTGAATACCCACTAGAATGGCTAAAATCTAGAAGACGAATAAACACGTTCTGGCAAGGATCTGGACCATCTAGAACTTGTGTTGGTTTAAAATGGCATAACCATTTGTGATAAGTATTCTTGTATACACATCATTTGTGCATATGTCTAGGGTAAACTCCTTGGACTGGAATTGCTGGGTATAAGGGTTTTAAGTTTTATAGCACAAAACTGTTTTCCACTGAAGTTGGGCCGTTTTATATTTCCATCGGCAATGTTATGTATGCAAGTGCTACTTAGCCCACATTCTTATCGACAGTGTACTATCAAAACTTTCCATCTCTGCCAATCTGAGAAATGGCATTTCATTGTGGTTTTAATTTGCACTATGTATCTTTCCATATGTTTAAAGAAATTTGCATTTTTTTTTCTATAAAGTTGGCCCATTTTGTTGTTAGATTTATGGTCCTGGTAATTGGAAAATGCTTTATATATTAAGGAAATTAACCCTTAGTTTGTAAAGTACGTTGTACTTTCCTAGTTTGTCTGTCTTTCGACTGTGTGTGCCATGCTCTTTTACCATGTAGAAATCTGGTAAATGGTCAAATTTATCATTTTTTAAAATGGCATCTGGGCTTTGTAATATAACTAAAAAGGTCACTTTCACTCCAAGATTATAAAAACATTTTCATGGTTTTTTTCTAGTACTTTTATGGTTTCACAATTTTGCATTTACATTTATGCTCCATCTGGAATTTATTCTGGTGTAAGGTAGAAGAAAAGGATCCAACCTAATTTCTTTCAGATGTTTACCAAGTGGCTTCAACATCATTTTTTAAACAATTATCATTTTCCCCACTGATTTAAAATTTAAAATGTCTTTTTGATAACTTACTAAATTTCCAAATATATTTAGATCTCTTTCTGGACTTTCTATTTATTCTGTTACTCTTCTGTCTGTGTAATCATGTACCAGTGCCATATAGGTTTAAATATTAAAGCTTTATATTATATTTTAATATAATATCTGGTAGAGCTAAACCCCCCTTATTGCTCTTCATCTGCAGAATTTTCTGGTTCTTCTTGCTTAATTATTCTATGATTCTGCATTTAATACAAAAAGATTACCAATATGAATAAGGAAACTAATAAAAATGGATGGTGTATCTTGTCTATTGTGATGGCAGCATATAAAAGAAGAGAATCCCAAGAATGTCTAGTAAAAGGGAAACATATCATCTTAAGTTAAAAAAAAAAACAAGAAAAAACAAAATAAAACCCAAAACTTATAAACGACATCATTTTCTAATTTAAGATAGAACTAAATGCTGACTGGCTAAGATGCACAGACCAAATTTTGGGGAGGAGGGGGGAAATCAGCCATCAACTATGAGTCTCTTAAGATAAAAACAGATACATTCCATGCAGACATTCTGATTCATTAGCAGCCACCTGAATCCAGGGCCTGGATTTAACAATGATGCTGACAATAAAAAATACTCAGTCAATGAACATTAAATGACTCCTCACTATGCGACAGGCACTAGGTGCTGGGAGAAAAAGATGAACAAATGCACGTCTCTAGACAATTCACAGTCTACTGGGAGTGACTGACCTGGAGAAAGATAAAGCACACATAAGAATATATTAAGTGTGATCATGCACAACTGTCCAAAGTTCCTAAATTTTCACAATGTTCTTTTAAGGCACTACTTAATATTTTACTGTTAACTCTTTAAATACTCAGGTTATCTCACTGAAAAACCATACATGTACACATTTTAACTTCTGATCATCCAAAATCAAATTTTAGATTAGGTTAAAACATTATTTTTCTCCTCAGTACAGGCTTATTTCAGTGCTTTAAATATTGTCTCAAGCCATCAAAGAATGCAAGGAGTTTTATGAAATAAACCACTTTGAAATGTTACGCTTTCTAAGCTTAGCTGGTAGAGAGTTAAGTGACCGAACTACTTGCAGTTCAATTTAAAGTTGCCATCACACAAATGAAAAATGCAGAGGCTTGAAAGCTGCCCTGCCTTTCCAGCTAAGGAAATGAGAAAGGTCTGTATTAAGAATGTAATTACTTAAGGATTTGGACATACTTTCCCATGGTCAGAAGGAAAAATATTTAATCAACCTCTAAGTACATTCATTCATGTTGGAACAATGAGGTAAAAGCAGATTAGTTCTCTCCTAGGGTGCTGACTTTTTGTAAATAAGAAGAAATCTGAGTTACCACAGATTTCTAAAGTATTCAAAATTTTGAAAATGTGATTGGTCTGACAGGGCTTATCTTACAATTGTTCAGAACTTTCTTTCAATTTGATCTACATGTTAGAAGATGAACTCTAGATTCCCCCCACGCTGTCCCCAAGAAGCCCACTCAACAAGGACGGCACCAGAGGGAAGTTTTACCAAGCAAGGACACCTATTTCAAGAGGGGAGGCCACAGGAGAGGATAATGTAGTTCAAGACAAGATGCCTGGAAAAGGTACAAGCTGTCTTCTAAAAAGTCTAAATGTAGAGGAGGAAATGCATGTGTTTCATCATTAATTAAACACTTCTGGT